TATATCCATATGCACCATATAATGTTTGAACATAAACTGCTTACAGCGTTGCTTTACTACATCACTTTTCCTATATATACATATTAGAATATATATCCTCTCAATGATTCCTGGTGTCGTGAGAGACTGTACGGGATGCAATAAATCCAGTGGGTTCATAGGTTGCTGTTACGGCACTGATATCTGTGGCTCCAAAAGAGATCCGTTTCTCTGAATCCGTCGGACTTGGTGAAGGTAGGGGAGGTACTGATAGTAGCTTACAAGGGTTTGCATCCTGAATGAAGTACGGAAAAGCAATCGTGAAAAATGCTCAAGATGAGAGAAAATTGTAGAAGCGTCACTTGCGTTCATGGAACGCCCACAACAAGGGCAAGAATTCACGTCAATCAAGAAAACCTTAAATAATCCTTGCTTTTAATACCTACTTAAGTAAACAAAAACATAAATAGTATAGTTTGCTCAGAAGATGACAAACTATGGTCTGGCATATTGACAGAAACTTAACAAAAGATACCGTGAATTGGTCTGGACATAGACAGTAGTATTTGTTGATTCCGTCGATGCACGTGCCGCCATTCTTGCAAGGATTCCGGTTGCATTCGTCTCGCTCGACGATCTACATGGTAATCTTGATGTAATTCGTTTTTATGTTAAATCCACTCTTACAATTCGTAGGTCATTCAGCTTTCGTGAAAGCTGCCTCAGCTGTCGTCTCATCGGCCTGAAATCTGAAATCGACTGGGAAGGTACCTGATTAATCTAAATATTAAAATATAAGGATGAGTGATTTATATATGTATATATATGTTATAATCTATCAGTCAGGCTCTGGCTATTCACAAACTTTTCCTGTAATGTTAACATTACTATGTCATGACATTAGTTGAGCCTTAAAATATATTTACTGTTGTATTCATCAAAAAGCTAAAGCATCTGCAATGTCAGGATCTCTTTAGAGAATGAATTATTGTCAATTTTGCATTCCCTTATTCATGTCCCCGTGCGAACTATCCAGAAATGTCATTAGTGTCTAGTTCTTTCTTTTCTCTGTTTGTCTTTCATTCGAGCCAGGTTTTCTTTTTAGTTTTCCGAAGCAAACAGTTCTACGAGCTTCCTACAACGTTTTCTTCATCGTTCAATAGAACAGGTTCTCGTTGGTGAATTCAGTCACACTGCTCTCAAGAAAATAGAGGAATGAATTAATCAATAAGTTGATGAACGAAGGAGTGAGCAAACGAGGGAACGAATGAGAGACGGGATGAATGAATGAATTAAAGATGGAACGAATAAGAGAATTCAGAAGTGAACGAACGAAGCAGTGTATGAATTACTGAATGACACAATTAATGCATGAAAGAAAAAATCAACGCGAAGTGAATTAACGAATGAATGAAGGAAGGAAGGAACGAAAGATTGCATGAGCTGCTCAGATTCGAGAGGTACAAAAAATTACTAACGGTTCCATCGAGTAATAGAATTCAAGTAAGAACGTGACCTCGATTTGGAAAGGCTAGGACTACCTCAACATGAGTACTGGAAAATGCTGATCTCTAGACGTTTCCATGCTAAGAACCTCCAAAGATCAGGCTTAAGATCCTCGCCTGCTGAGAGCAAATATATTGGAATACAAAAGATGAATATTAAGTATGATACCCGATTTTGCAGTATAAGTAGCGACTGTTGCAAGTGAGTCTGGCTCTGCATCATCGTCTGCATTTGTTGTGCAGTTGCATTCTGTCTCCGTTCCAAGAATCGAAATCTTCTCAAAACCATCACAACTTTGTTCTAAAATTTGAAAGAAATAATTCATCATAACCTACAGATTTGAGTTAACACTTGATTTTGATTGATGAATTAATTGGGTATAAACAACAGCAATATCTGAACCAATCTAATGAATTATGGCAGGAGAAATGACTTAACAACGTAAGTTCAGTTGCAGCAATCACCTAAAAGCCCTCAGAGTACTTAGCGGATCTGCCACTACTTTTCTTTCCTGAAAATCTTTGCATCGATTCTAGGCAACATTCCGCAAATTCAATGAAAACTTATTTATGCATACGTCCATAGCTGCCATTTCGTTCGAATGCACTGGCAACACTGTATGAAGTATTTACTATGGTCCCGGGGTCGCCATTCATGTCAGTTGGATAGGCTGGATTTCAGAACACAATAATCGGTGCGATCAATAAATCTGAGATACTAGGCCTTCGGCCTGCTTAAGTTACCCCTCAGAAGCATGGTATTTCTAATTTTAAACTGATGGTCAATTTCTCCGGGTTAGCTCAGTATGTAAATTTTATTACGTAGATCATCGTGTTTGCGAACTAATCACGCTGAACATTTTTTCTACTAGCAACATTCCCATAGGAATTAAAAATAGTGCACAAATCTGCCGTAATACATTTGAGAGACCTGGATTTCAAGAGATAGTAAACTGCCAGTGAGAAGACCTCCAGATCGATGGCCGATCAGTGTTGTTGTACGGCGTGGAGACGGTTGCCCTAATGAAGGATCGAGAACAACGGTTAATTTCGCTTTGGCTTCGACACATAACGAGGGCTAAATGGCAGAACCACATTAGGAATGACTCAGTTCTCCTCTGGGAATAGGTGACCTCTGTGGATGTGGAGTTCAATAAGAGTTCAGCCAAGTTGTAACTGTTTTTCGCAAACTGTTTACTCCAGTCCATGAGCTTTTTGTGTGGAAGCCAAAACATGACAGATGCCAACCAGGAGGCCACTATCCAACATAAAGGAACAGGCTTGAGGCAAATATGCATTCCAAAATGAACCGTTCCTTCTAAAATGCCGGTGTCTTATAGCGAAAGTGCTGTAAAGCTGCGAATAAAATGGATATCATAAACCGGATTTGGTCTGCTGATGCAAACGGCTGATACTGATGATAACAATGGAAAACGACCACCAGGTCGATGTCAGGATTCGCTGAAGAAGTTTGTTGGAATAAGGTGGCTAAAAACTGCAGGAGACAAAATTCTATGACGAAATCTCGTAGGGGTCTTGAACTGATACATGCTGATGGTATTATTGAAGGATGGGAGGACACGAATCAGAAAATTTAATTGTAAAATTGAAACAGAGAACCTTAAGCAAAAAGGGCTGAAAGTTATGACAGAAATGAAATTTTTCGTTCTTATTTTAAACCACAGTTTACTGGCAAGGTTTTCTGCGCTTACCAGCGTTAAATCACAAAACGTTGCTTCTAACGCATTAGTCCCGAATGGGCAAAGGGGCTACGTTGCAAATTTCCAGATGATGTCTTTATTACAAGAATAATTTAATTTGATTAATTGAAACTTACTACTGACGGCAGCGTTCGAATGTCTAATCCACCGAAAAGAACGGTTCCCTCTCCATTCGCAATGAACGTGATGTTTTTATCCTTTCCGGCATGAATGAAGAAATTTCCGTCATGAATAAACAGCCGTGGCCTAAAGAACTCGAGCAACGCGTTATGGATAAAGAACAGTTGTATATAAAATACCTATTTTCATAGGGGCTTAGAAGGATGCCACGTGCTAATCCAATAGCCCATAACCAAACACAGTAACGTACAACCAACATCAACGCAGCAAAGCAGCACGGTAAATGAAATTTTAGCAAGTCACTAACTTCTGTGCGTGGAAAAGCTATTAAACACCTCACGATTGAGGTATGTCATGAGAAGTGTTATGGCTGATACACGAGCAACGGTGAGGATCCGATTTCTTGTCGCACCAGCGGCAGTGCCACGCCGACACCGTAACTGTATACGGGAAACCCGAGCAGAATTTTGAAGCTGCGTGGTGTACACCAGCTTCGCTTGGACGAGTAACACTTTTAATCAAGCCAGCGGTTAAAAATAATAAATACATAATCCACGCATGATCTGTTTAAATTACCGAGTCGTTCTGCGTTCTTGTGGTAACGGCTGATCTGATGTAGCAAAAACAATGGTATTGAAATAGAGCTCTTGAAATCGGTAAGATGTTACGCTCATATCATCAAATTTTGTAAACTAGTTTAAGGTAGAAAACACTGGATCAAACTGAGTCTCCAACAGCGGATAGGTCTCGTATACGGTGTGGTTGAAATAGTACAAATAGACCAGAATTCCTAAGCTTTGACACCTAGTGGCTGGATGTTCGTCTCAGCGATCAGAAATCAGTCAACAAGCATCGTTCAGTCAGATCTTCCCTCGCTACTCTGATGAGGTCGTACGTGTCGGTTCAGAGGCAAGTGATAAGTAAAAAATAATTTGCATCCGCTTTCGTAACGGGCTCTTGCCGCCAGTCCTATGTTTTCTCTAGCATTGGAAACATCGTTTATGTAAACACCTCACATTAAAGTGTTAAAAGCTGTTCCAACTTCCATTAACAGACATTTGGTCATCAAATGACTGTTTCGGTGCTCATAAATCTTCACGGTTGCCATTGGGCTTTGAAAGGTTTAGATCCCAGCGCCTCACTTTGTCACGTAATTTAATGTCATGGCACTTGCTT